ACAAACCCTCCATCCCGCTTTACAGTACGCGCGCGACAACACAGCTGATCAGAACGCGCGCGACAACACAGCTGATAAGAACTCGCCCGTCAACACCGCTATTCAGTACGCGCGCGGTGACAACACCCGCTTTAGGGTTTTCCAGCTCTTTTTCATCCCCGCTTCTAGCAGCACACTCCATTTCCGCATTACTGGATCTGTAGCGACAACAGACCGCAAGGGATGATGGCCACCCCTGGGCTGATGGGAATTGTAGTTTTCGCTACCTCCCGTTCGCTTCATTCGCCTGAGCAAATTTTCTCAGAAGACCTACAGTTTTACAGAGTCATGCGACTACGGTAATATCGAAAAAAAATTATATTGCGGTATGACGGTATTAACAATACCGTTACATCCCTAGAATTTAAGAAATGGATAGATGATTTTAAGATAAAACCACATGTAATATGTGTACAAGAATCTTGGCTAAAACCCAACTTAAGTTATGTGGTCCAAGGATATGAAATAGTAAGAAAAGATAGGAAAAAAGGAAATGGGGGAGGAGTGATTACTTTAGTTAAGGCAGGGGTTGCATACAGGGAGATAAAAGTAAACAAGAAATATGAGTCAATAGTGATAGATGTAAGGGCAGAAAATCGTAACATAAGAGTGATAAATTTCTACAACCCCTGTAAGAGATTGAATAGCGATCTAACTAAAAATATAGGAATAGAGGGACATGATAACATAATGTGGTGTGGAGATTTTAATGCACATAGTACCCTGTGGGGATGTGTAAATAGTGATCAAAATGGGCAGGTAATAGAAGAAATATTAGATTCCAATGATTTAGTATGCGTAAATGATGGAAATATAACAAAGAGTGGATGTATTAAGAGGAATGAATTCTGTCATAGATTTAACAATAGTATCCAATAACTTAGCAAGGCAATGTGAATGGGAAACCTTATATCATAGTACTTTAGGAAGTGACAATTTTCTTATAAAATGTTCAATTGAGATAGAAGTAGATGAATGTCACGAGGAGAAAATGACAAGATGGAGATTTAAAGGTGCTAATTGGAAGAAATATAAAGAGATTTGTGAAAATAAAATGCTTAGTACAAAATTTAACTTTGAGGAAATAGAAGATACAAATAACAAAATTAATGCAGTTTTATGTAGTGCAGCACAAGAGGTTAAAGGGAAAAATAAAGGGGGGGGAATTAAAAAGGCTGTACCATGGTGGACAGAAAAATGTAATGAGGTAATTCAAATCAGAAATAAAGCTCTAAAAAAAGTTAAAAAGACATACTCTTTTGACGAATTTATAAAGTATAAGAGAACCCAAGCAGAAGTAAGGAAGGTAATAAGGACAACAAAAAGAAATGATTGGAGAAAGTTCTGTGATGAAATTGGCGCAGATATAGATATAAATGATATGTGGAATATGATCAAGAAAATGGGTGGAAAGCAAATAAATAAAAATATTCCAGCTTTAATAAAAGAAGGTACATACATAATGACCAATGAAGAAAAAGCAGAGGAGTTGGTAGAAGCCTTTGTTAAGGTTCACAGTAATAATAATTTATCAGACAGTATGAGAATAAAAAGGGAACAAATCATAAAAGAAAATCCAAATGTATTAACACAAAAAGCACCAACTAGGGGCACATTGGATGCAGATTTTACTATACATGAAATGAAGCAGGTAATACAGAATCTGAAATGTACATCTCCAGGTAAAGATGAAATTTTATTATGAAATGATAAAACATCTTTCAGATACATCACTAATAAGACTTCTAAAGTTCTTCAATAAAATATGGGAAGTGGGAAAATTTCCTATGTCTTGGAAACATGGAGTGATTATTCCAATTGGAAAACCGGGCAAAGAGCATACAGAAGCAACAAACTATAGACCAATTGCGTTGACATCTAATTTCTGTAAGATAATGGAAAAGTTAATAGTATCTCGGCTAAATTATGTGTTAGAAAGTAGAAATCTTTTAAATCATTATCAGAGTGATTTTAGAAAAGGACGAAGTACTATGGATCCAGTTTTATGTTTAGAATCTGAAATTAGGAAAGCAATGATGAATAAGGAGGTGTTAATAGGGATATTTTTTGATATCGAAAAGGCCTTTGATATGCTTTGGAAAGAGGGAGTATTAACTAAATTAGACAATATGGGAATCAAAGGGAAAATGTACAATTGGATTATGGACTTTTTGTTTAACAGAACTATTCAGGTAAGGGTAGGAACAAGTTATTCTAGCATACATTCGACAGATAATGGGACCCCACAGGGTAGTGTATGCAGCCCAGTATTATTTAACATTATGATTAATGATATATTTGTAACGGTTGGACAAGAAATAGGCAAGTCTTTAGATGACGGTGCTTTGTGGAAAAGGGGAAGAAACTTAGAATATGAGAAAGAAAGAATGCAAAAAGCAGTTAATGAAGTGGAAAATTGGGTAAATAAATGGAGCTTTAAATTGTCTGTATAAAAAACCAAAGTGATGTGTTTCTCAAAAAAAAAAAGGAAATCCCCAAATATCATAATAAATCTTTATGGGCAAGAGTTAGAGCAGGTTCAAGAAATCAGGTTCCTAGGAGTATGGATAGACTCAAAACTTACATTTACAACCCATATAAAGAAAATAAAAGATAAATGCAAAAAACGAATAAATATCCTAAGATGTTTGGCAGGAGTAGAGTGGGGTGCTACCAGACATGCATTAACAAGAATATACTGTGCTATCATAAGGCCAATTTTAGATTATGGCAGTATAGTATATTGCTCAGTATCCAAATCTCAGCTACAAAAATTAGCGTTATTCAATCTCAAGCATTAAGATTAGGAAGTGGAGCATTTCGAACATCGCCCATTTCAGCGATTCAGGTGGAAATGGCAGAGCAACCAATAAAGTATAGAACACTTAAGCTGAAAATGGCATATTGGAGCTCTGTAAGAGGGCATGCAGATACACATCCAGTAAAAGCAATAATCAAAAACTGTTGGGAACATGAGTATAGCTTTATATATTCCTAACAATAAACACAATGTTTCAATGAGGTTAAGTAGTCATATATCAGTTTTTTTCAACATAATTAATGGCAATATCAATGGCAATGCAGTGGGTGGAAAAAAATCACCCCTTAAGAGTAGTGGTGTGCTCTGACTCATACTCAGCACTACATTGTTTGAATAGTGGGACCTCAGAAACACGACAGGATCTACTAAATGAAATATTTCAAAACATATATAAAATAAACCAAATAGGAATAATAGTAAATTTTTTATGGATCCCCGCTCATCTAGGAGTAGAAGGAAATGAAATAGTAGATAAGATGGCAAAAACAGCATTGGGGAAAGATGAGGTGGATATTGAGATCCCGCTATCTAAAACAGAAATAAAGCATATTATAAATATATCAGTAAATAATCTTTGGCAAGAAAACTGGGATTCAGAATCAAAAGGAAGACATCTGTATAATATACAAAATAAAGTGGGGAAAGAAAGGAAAGTATATGGGAACAGGAAGGAAGACAGTCATATCCAGACTTCATATAGGTCATTCCAATTTAAACAGTTCACTATTCAAGATAGGGAAAAGCAAAACCAATGCTGCAGACATTGTGGACAAATCGAAACCATAGAACATGTATTAATCAAGTGTACAAAATATAGAAGAGAGAGGGACCAGTTTAAAATAAAACTAAGAGATTTGGACATGACTGACATTTCAATCACAAACATTTTTTAAAATGCTCAGAAACAGACTAAGGTATATGATTATCTGTTAAAATGTGTGAGGAGTACAGGTTTGTTTTACAGGATTTAATCGGAAAGAATCATAATTAGTTTTTTTTATTTAGATTTTTATTATGAATATTGGTATTATTATTTAATGACTAAGTAAGGAAAAAAAATCTTTCCTTTTTTTTTTTTTTTTTTAGAAAACATGTAGTAATCCTTCCACTCATTGAAGTCTCACACTCCAACACAAGTAGGTGGCGGTAATGCACCTCAAACTTGCCACCCGTCATTAACGAAAAAGAAGAGGAAGTGGCAAAATAAGCTGAACAAAAACTTTTATTTTGGCGTGGTTTGTGACGTCATAAGGCTGCGCCGCTACCGCGCTGTGATTCAACTGGAGAAAGGTTTGTTTTAAAACTTACACAGATATAAACCGATTAATTAAAGTTTCAGGTTTTTCATCCGATACGTACCTGTTGTTGGCAATGTTATTTTAACCCTTTATTCAGCGTAGTACTATTTTACTGACAGTAATTGATGGATATTGTTTGAATAAAGTTACAGAACTGTGTGTAATACGTGTTTTAATGAAGGTTTAATTTACTAAATAGCATAATGGCATTAAATTCGAAGTATACATCACTATTTATAAGAAATGGCGTACTAGTTTTAATCAGCTCATTTGTGGATATTGTTTCTTGCTTAGACTTACCTGATTTCTTTTTGTTAATCACTCTCATATAAAGAAACGGTTGAAGCAAGCATTGGAGAGAAGTTATTTTGTTTGTTGTCATTCTTTTATTTATTTTAAACAGAACATTTTTAATGTTTTGTTCATTTTAAACTGGAAAAAGTGTCTCATATGAAGAAATAGAGGTAAAGTTGGTTTTATATTCGCACATTTGGACTTTTCCCTTAATATTATAATTTCATAAAATTATTATTTACATCTAAATAGCGAAATCATATTAGCAGCCTATGACTATCAAAGTACAACATAGTTCACAGCCAAATAAACAGCGTTAATGTTATTTTCAAGCCACACTTGCATGCTAATTCCGATGGAATATTCAAAGTAACATGGTAAACAATATAGAGACTTCTAAATGAACGAATATGCGAATATAAAACCAACTTTACCTCTATTATAAAGAAACTGTTAAAGCAAGTGTTAAAGAGAAGTTATTTTGTTTCTGTTCATTGTTTTATTTATTTTAAACCGAACACTTTTATTGTTTTGTTCATTTTAAACAGGATAAAGTGTCCAAATGCAGAGAAAAACTCCTGCTGAAGCGACTGGTCTCCACACTGTTATAAAGATGGCATTAATTAAAGAGGAGAGTGAAGATGTGAAGATTGAAGAAACATTCAGAGTTAAACAGGAAGATCTGCAGGAACAAACAGGTTGGTTTTCATTCTCAAAGACCAACTCAGTCATCTGATCTTCATTCAGATATATTTTAATAATAGGAATACTAAATTAAATCCATCTTGCAGCCCTGAGTGTGCTGCCTAGTTCTCCTAAACGCAAATAAGCACTCATTGAAAGACGAAATTAGTTTCTTTTCTGTTACTTGTTCTCATTTATTTTGTCATTATTTTATGTATTATTAGTCTCTCATTTTCTGTCTTCTTAAGGTTATTGCTTTTATTGTTCTCCCACTGTTTGTAAATTGTCATTGAACAGTGGTGCTTTATAAAATAAATAATAACAATAAATTATAAAAGTTTAACTGAGCTGACAATATTTGACCTACAGTATTCTCATAGAAGATATCTGCTATTTCAGTGATAGTGTTGGCTTAGTACTTTCCATTTGCATATGTCACGTTGATCACAATTCCCTTTTTTTCCATCAACTTCTTTTTGAGTTTAAAGTTGTTTCTAGTAGTTGTTGCTAGTTCTCACAGATAGTACCTGAGTTAAAACTACATTAATTTAATAACCAATTACCAGGGCTATTGTGTTTAAAGAGGGTTTCCGCAGGCTCTTAAAATGTCTTAAATTCCAAAATCTAAATTTTAGGGCTTAAAAAGTCTTAAATTTACTGAAATATTGTGTTGTAGGTCTTAAATCTTTTTTAAACAAGTCTTCATTTTCCTTTGTTCATGTTTTGTTACCCAATCAGGCCAAAACCCACACAATCACCAACAATCCATCTCTCCAAAACTTTAAAGATTTTATTCAAAAAGGTCATTTTAACTCTATTTATCATAATAGTTTGATTATTTTTCTCACAATAACATTTGTTTAAATGTGCTCCATGTATTTATTGCTGATTTACTACATCGACCTGGACAGATTGTTGTGCAAAAATTTAGTTTATTATAGTTTTTAAAACTTTTTAACATTTGTTAATTTTTTTTTTAAAGAAAGTTTATATTTGGAAAAAAGATGTTTGGATACAAGTAAAGTTTTCTTGTTTTTACACAATTTAAAATATTTTGCTTAGCAATATCTAAAATAATGTAATCATTTTTATTGTTCATTTATTATTGTATTTTTAAATATATTAAATTATAATATTTTGTTGTCTTGGCAAAAAAAATCTTATCCATCTGGCCATTTGAAAAATTCCTATGCCTTTAGCCCTTTAGGATTCTAAAATTTCATTATAATAGTCTTAAAAATGTCTTAAAAAGTCTTACATTTAACTTTCTCAAACTTGCAGAAACCCTGGTTTAAAGTATGTCAAAAAACATAATTTCCCTGATTTTAAATATGCTGAATGAAATGGACACTAAAATTGTTAATTATTATTAAACATTGTACAGTATTATAAACTATAGGATTTTGCTGTGGGACGGCGTGAAACAAAACAAACAAATTATAGTGGAACAATAATGTTTAGCAGTGCACTGACTAAAACTGGCCAACAAACTAGTCTAAGAATGACTGTTGCTGCTTAAGAAATGGATAACAGCATGCTGATGATATGCAAACATTTGAGTGTAAAGTTCGTAAGTATTGACCATATACTTCACGTACCAGCAGGCGTCGCCATTGGACTCTTTTTGCTTGAGACATTTTTGTTAAAGAATTAATTTTTAGATCCTAAAAACAGTGTTATGCTGCTTAGGCATGGGACGATAACTGTTTTTAAGGTAAAATAAAAATGGCTAAATGTTTCGCTATATCGTTCTTACTGTATATGTAAGGTTTTTTTATGGTTTGAGTTTTTCAGGACAACAGTATCTCCAGCAGAAAAGATCTCCAAAAATGCCATTTTAAATCGTAAAGAAATCTGTGTTTCTTAAACTAATGAAGACAGCAGTAGTCAAGGATCAATTTAAATGATTTAGCCTGACATTTTTACTGCTCCAAAATACTTTCAAAGCTTCTCAAAATAAAATATATTGTGTTCAAAGGGAAAACCGGTTTTTTTTTTTTTTTTACCCAGACATTTAAAAAGAACATATTTCAAAGCAGTAATCACAGTACCGTGAAACTGTGATAATTTTATTCAAGCTTATCAAACTGTCAGTCTTGTACTGGCCTATGCTTAATGCTGCTTGATGTTGCAAAGTCATATTTTCAAATTTTATTATTCTACTTTTTATGTATAGTCATGAAGACACTTGTTTGTAGAGAAAGTAGTGTGACAGTTTTCTGCCGTTTATTATTCCTGTTGAGTTCTCCAATAGGCAACTGAAGTTCTAAAACAATAGCATATGAGATCAGGTCACTGCTATTACACGATTGACACTTTTTGTATTTCGCTGTTTGTCATTGTTTTCTGGTTATCCTGAGAGCTGATGCTGAGTATTCTTAGGGTTTTTCAAACTTCAAATTGTTTACCCTTGGTCATTCTAACACTGGATAAACAAAATCCTGGGTTATCTGTAAACACGTTCCACACTGCTCATGCTATACCTGGGGTTAAAATAAAAACCTGGATGTTCATTACCAGATGTTTGAAATTTGCAAACCCTGGGTTAACATTATTATTTGAATATTGACGTTTTTACTGTCCTTGATTGGACAAACAGCAGGTAACCTTTTTAAATGGCATTTCTGCATCTTGTCGGATATATAAAATGTCACCACATAGGTCTTAAGCTAAGCCTCAGAACATGCACAAAGGCAAGAAAACAAAGACAAAAGTACAAATTAATGATAACAAGTAGCAAAGTATGTCATCTTGCCATCTCCTCATCACTCCAGTTTACAGCAAACGTAGCATTAAGCATTTGCACAAGTTCATCCATTCATTTTCCTTCGGCTCAGTCCCTTTAATTATCAGCAGTTGCCACAGCCTAATGAACCACCAATTTATCCAGCATATGTTTTAAACAGTGGATGCCCTTCCTGCTGCAACTCAGTGCTGGGAAACATTTACATAAGTTATATACAATAATGCAAACTCACTAATAGAAGCTTGAATTATGCGTACTTGCTTTGAACATGCAGGATTCTTTTCAAGTGGGTCTTCCAAGCAAGTTACAAATGTTTAAATCCAGTGGAAGAAACACATGAGGGATCACAACACGAGTAATATAAGTGCATAGCAAGTGCATTTGATCAATTGCATTTAAAGCAACAGGCACAAAAAGAGCTTGGTTTTCCTCTGACCCCCAAAATTAGGTATTCTGCAATGAATGATCTGATTTTGAGCTGAAACCTCAGACACATTCTGGGAACACCAAAGACTTATTTTACATCTTATAAAAAAGGTTCATAATAGAAACCATTTAAAGGTATTTCTGACACAGAAATGAAAATAGCCTCACCATTTACTCTCCCTTGTGTGGTAAACCTTTATGAGTTTCTTGATGCTGCTGAACACAAAAGAAGATATTGTGTAAAAACTCTTGCTTACTTTGTGTTCTAGAAGAAAGGAAATGTTAAAACCACATGACAGAGAGTAAATGGTAAGGTCAATTTAATTTTTGGGTGAAACATCAATTTCATGCTTGTCGCTTTGTGCCTTCATACTAATGTTCACTTTTTTTTTTAAGACCTGATGTTGCTGAAAGAAGAGACTCATCAATGGAATGAAATGGAGGAGAAACACCAAGACATAACGACTGATGAAAAACCCACATGGACTAAAATTACATCACGTGGAAGACCTCGTAAATCCAAATCCAGCTGTAATTTTAGCTGTAAACTGTGTAGAAAGAGTTTCACTAAAAAGACAAACCTTGATGTTCACATGAGAGTTCACACTGGGGAGAAACCTTACACCTGCGAACAGTGTGGAAAGAGTTTTGGTCAAATACAAGGCTTTAAAGCCCACATGAGAATTCACAGTGGAGAGCGGCCGTACACATGCCAACTGTGTGGAAAAAGCTTCTATATTTCAGGAAACTTGACAGTGCACATGAGAACTCACACTGGGGAGAAGCCTTACCCTTGCCCTCAGTGTGGAAAGCGTTATAAGCAAAATAGCAACCTTGAAGTCCACATGAGGATTCACACTGGAGAAAAACCTTACACATGCACAGAGTGTGGTAAAAGGTTCCCATATAAATGCACACTCAAACACCACATGATAAGTCACACCGGACAGAAGCCGTTTACATGTGCTCAGTGTGAAAAGAGCTTCACAACCAAAGCGAGCTTCAAGAACCACATGGATGGTCACACTGGAACCATAATGTTCACATGTGATCAGTGTGGAAAGAGTCTCACACGCAAAGACGCCATTAAGCAACACAAAAAGATTCACTCAGGAGAGGGTCGTTATAGGTGCAGTGAGTGTGGAAAGGGCTTTACCCATAAAAGAAGCTTCAGCGCTCACATGAAGCTTCACAATGGAGAGCAGAGTCCTCAACATTGAGGTCTTGTCCACACAAACACGGGTTTATTCAAAAAGACAGCTTTTTCATGTAGTTTGGCTGTTCATTCAAGTGAAGTTTATTTATAAACTACTTACGAGAGGATCACATGCTTATGATTGTTCACGACTAGTCCTGCATTAGCCAACACATGATTGACCAATCAGAGGAATCCTGACTCAATATAAATAATCACGGTTTCTTACCTCAGTTATCTTCATCTAGAAGAATCCCCCTCCCACCCTTATTCCCCCTCCTTTCTAGATTGGACGACATGGCGGCCCAGTGATTAGCACTGTTGCCTCACAACAAGAATGTCACAGGTCCAAACAAAGTCCCTTCAGGCAAATCATTTCACTTTGCGGCCATCTTTGAAACGCCTCTTGGGCAATCTGAATGGGGAACATCAAATTCTCCAAAACTACTTGCCAAGCTTACGATTTCATTTCATATTACAAATAACCGATAAAGTTAAACAACAACTTTTTAGTTGTTAATTTGTTAATTTTTAGTTGTTTGTATCACGCAAAATCTGCAGAAACTCACGTCTGGTCATATCCCCTCCCCCGGAGTATTGTCATTCTAAAGTGATTGCTGATTTGGCTTCTGTACTAGAAGGCAGGCTTTATTCACCATATAGCAATCGCTGATTGGCTCCTGTACTAAAAGGCAGGGCTTCATTCGCCATATTAAAAGTTACACTTTTCCCCATTCAAAAGTATACGAGTGACACGTCTTGTGTATTCTACAGTCCTTAGTTAAAATCCTTACGGAACCAGTCGACATTTGTGTGGATTTTATTCATTCTCCCCATGCTTGTGTAGGTTTCTTCCGGGTTCATTGGTTTCCTCCCACAGTCCAAAAACATGCAACCCAAGTTAATTGAACATTCTAAATTGGCACCATAGTCAAGCTCTTATGCCAGGGGTGCTCAACCCTGTTCCTGGAGATTCACCTTCCTGCAGATTTCAATTGCTACCCATTTCAAACACACCTGCCTGTAATTATCAAGTGCTGTTCAGGTCCTAATTAATTGGTTCAGGTGTGTTTGAACAGGGTGAAAGCTTTGTTTTGCAGGAAGGTAGATCTCCAGGATCAGGATTGAGCAGCCCTGTCTTATGCTGTGTTCCCACCAGATGTGCAACGCGCAGATAAATCATGCTATTCACAGTTAAATAGCTGTGTGAACATTTGGGTTAACTGGCTTCATTTGCGTATCAAATTAACTTCAGAACAGATGCAGATTCGCGTCTTGGGCATGGCTCCTGTCTGACCGGTGACTCTAGTTTCGTTGCTAAATGGCTAACATGGATTTTATTAAGAAAATAACATTTTTTTTTTTTACAACGGCTATGACAGTTTTTTCAATACATTTAACAAATTTGCTAAACTCTTAACGCAACAACACACCTAAAACATAAAATTGGCAAAACAGTTAATTTTATGCTCAAAATCACACATTGTAAACTAAACCTCTAAACTACTTTTCAAAATACAATAATAAACGAACACACTACACCATGTCTAACAAAACACTGTAAACATGTTTCAAAATGAAATAATTGTTCAAAACACTAACACATGTTCTTTTCCAACAGAAACATTCAGTCAATCAGAAAACACTGACAATAAAAACACTATCATCAGCTGACATTACAGAGACTACATTATTTTACTTATGTGTCAGCACTGCCCTTATATTTTAAGCCTCTCTACAGTTTTGTTTTGTTGGGTTTAGTAAATGCATGCATTTTATTTTTTTATACTGCTAAAATTCAATCCAAAAAATGAAGAAATAAAGTTGCTTTATAAAATTTACAGCTTATGTAAAAAAATACAGACACAGAATTTCTGCAGTACTTACTTTATTTGCAAAAGGACATCACTGCAAGATATACAAAAAAAAAGTATAATTAAAAAGTAATCTTCTATTCTGCCTGGTCTTGTGCATTTGACCACGTTCTCATCCACAATATACTTGATATCTTCTATGGCCCGGCACGGTAACTGTGGCCCTTTGGCCTATAATGTTTCTCCCATGGCGACATCACCAGCCTCGTCAACATAAATAATTTCATGTGGTACTTACTTGGCCTCCAACTTCAAGATTCTCTGAAAGTAAAAATACAGGGAATATATTTGTGTTTCAATTCACAATGAACAGCTGTTCACTTTGACTTTAGCCTATATAAGTTGTGTTTAGGATATGATGTTATCTGGTCTGACATACTGTGTGAAAGAATTTGTAAATTTGACTGTAAAATTACATAGTTTTGGTCTTAGTTGAGCTTGTGTGTACAAGAAGTTCAAGAATTTTAAATGTTAACTGGATACATTTTGTGTCAAAGCAACAAGAAATGTGTTAATTGTATAGCCAACAAAGACGGATGTTGTGCTAATCATGTTAAGAGTTTAGGAAACTTGTTTAATGTATTGAAAAAACTGTAAGCACACCAAACGTGCAAAACGCTCAATTTGCATCGCACCATATCAGCATATTGTGCCATTCGTGCGTATCGCGTCGCAGGATGTCTATTCATTGACTTAACATGGAAATCACTTCTTCTGCGTCTGGTGTGAACACAGCATTAGTAAGCCATATATCTCCCTTTAGCCATCCCTAAATCTGTCATTAGAACAAAAACAAGTTGGGGGAGTTCATCTAGATCTACCTGAGCTCGAACTACCCTCTCGCCATGCTTACAGTAGGAAGCCCTGGGCTCGAGGATCTTATGAGCTTAGGGCTCTCTCACGGGACAGCTTGACAAACAAGTGTGAACTCTTAAATACATATGAAGTTACTGTTAATGAAACCCTTTGAACACCTGAAGATTTAAAGTTAATAACTGAAGACGGGGGAAGATTTTGACAACTGTTTTGTAGTGTAGATCAAGGGTCAAAGCCCAGTACCAGGTTGTGAGAGTTGCTACTGGGTTACAAGAAGGCAAAATAACTCTATATGTTGATAGATTGTATGGTTTGTTTCATATGCAAACAAGTATCTGCATCTGAGATGGTGTGAACCAAATGGTCTATAGAAACTCAAGAGTTGTGACCCAACCAAAGCAGTTGGGTAATCTCTGGGGGGGATTACATCCTTTGTTATAAAGTAGTGTCTCACAGACAGTACTTTGGGTTAAGTTACTTGAAGACAACGAGTTAACACCACTGCTGCTGAACTGCACTATTCTTTGTTTTTTAAATAAAGTCTTCTCCTCGTAAAAACTTTAGTCAGCTTGCTAATTTTATGTATTAAAGTCATCTATACATTGGGGAGCCACCAAAGAACAGTTAAGCCAAATACAGCGAAATCTAACAATGTGTTTCAACTATTTTCTAAACCGATAACTATATTTGTGCACATTGCAGACTTGCAAATAGTTTATTAATTTACCAATCAAATGGTTGGCACTATTCTGCCCCTGCTAGGATGACTGCTGAAGTGCTTGTGCCTGGCTAGCTCGGCAGATAGCTAACAGGTTCCTCCAAGAAAGACTCGGACGCCAGATGTCCAATGAGTGTATTTTAGTTGAAAGAAGCACTGTAAGACTAAACATACATAAAGAATGTCAAAATAATAGGTCTATTACATGCAATTTAGGTATTAAATGCAGATTTAACATAAAGCTTTGCATACAGATAATCAAACAAATAATGTTGTTGTTTTATCTTTTAAGAAAAGTAATTTCTATACATGTTTCTTCAAAATTACACTCCAAATGAAGAAAAATATTAAAACAAAATACTCACAGACTTTAAGACCCTTTGTAATATTAACCTGTATGGCAGCGAAAAACAGCTCTGTTGCTCTAACTACGGTAAAGGGACAAACTTATTACAACTCAATATTCTTCTATGGCCACTAGGTGTCACTCTTAGGCTGTTTTGCTAAGATCAGGACAGGCACTAAAAAGAAAATTAGAAAGATTAGGGAGGAGAAAATGTTTGGGGAGATGCAGGGGACACTGTCCTACACCCTTAGATTGTGTTTTTGATCATTCACATTGCTTGACTGTCACTCGAGTGAACAAACACATATTTGCCTCCAATTGTGGGCTTTTGTCTGCAATTTCACAAAACTTGTTGGCGAATGAAAGTCAGATGTGTCAGATAATAAGATTTTGACTTGATCTAATCTTGATGTGTTGTGGGTAACAAGAGTTATCTTCAGTATCAAATTTTAATTTCAAAAATTGTTTTGATGGATACACATCATTAATATTTTTAAACTGAAGCTCTTTAATTTGGGGGAGAATTAGAGAAATGTAACTTGGTCTTATTTTTTCTAATTCCTGTAAATTAAATAAAAAAAAACATAAAATAAAATTACGTCTGAGCTGATTAGGATGAAGTCTTTGAATAAGAATATTCCTTTAAAACTTGTTACATTTTGGTTCTCTGAAACATTTAGTGGCCAAAAACAGAGGTGGAAGAGAAAACATTACAGAGTAGTGTGAGAGAATACTTCTGATCAATACTATGATGTTTTTTAGGCATAGCATTAATCATTGTGTAAAACTCTAGGTGACAAACAAAACCATGTTTTAAGCAGAAAATATTGCAATTAACAATGTCACCACGGCTTTCAAACATATCCAATAAAGAAAAAAATATTTTTAACCCAATTTTCATAAAATAATGACATTTCCATATAAATCAAAACGATTGTTCCATAAACAAGTTTTCTGAGAACTAAAATTGAGGAAAAAGGCTAGTGTCAATTGAACCAACTGGTAAAACCCCCCAAAAAAACAATATGCAACCAAATTTAAGGTTATTTGGGCTAGAAATGGGTTACACATTGCCGGACTAGATCTGGTCGATAGGCAACTTCACCGAGATGGTGAAACAACGGAGGGACATAGCCGATCTGATGACGAGCTAAATCAAGGCTATGTGAATTGAATTAGCTAAATTGGCCATAGTGTATGTGAGTGAATGCAAAAGTAGATGGGTGTTTACCAATGCTGGGTTGTGGCTGGAAGGGTATCCGCTGCATAAAAAAATATGCTGGATAAGTTGTCAGTTCACTGCAGGGAACTCTACGCTAGGTCTCTTATTAGGAGACACTAAGGGATACAATCCCTCTCTTATAACCCCCTGAAGCACAGGTGAAATCAATCCAATTTAATTGGCGGGACCGTGTTTGTGTGTGTGTGTGTTGTTAGGCCCTTCCAGGTACAGTATTGATGCCACTATGTAGTCTAGCAGATGTTTCAGGTCCAAATAGAATCTAATTAGGATATGCTGAAGAGGAAAAGTGAAAAGCAAAGAGCAGAACAATATTTAAGTAACAGTTCACCCACAACACAAAACGTATCACCTTCATGTCATTTGTTAATCTCTAATGCTCTAATACCATTTCAGCTTATTGTGAAACAAATACAGAACTTTATCAAACATACCTTCATTATTATCACCACAAATGACCAAGCAGGTGTGCTTGGTCATTCCACCAACTCTAGAAATACATCATCTCAATCAGTCTCTACTCAGCCACCGTCACAGGGTCTTGTATTACTGTATGGAGAACTGTAGCTTTTAAAAACAACAACACATTAGTATCTAACACATATGCATAACCTTCAGATTTAACAAAAAAAAAGAGAGAGATGAACATTACAAAGTATGCCTTGCGTATCTTCACATTTCTTTTGATTCAGGTGTTGATTATTGATAATAATTCTACAAATCAAACCTGTAAATAATACAATAAATAAAGTTTTATCAAAATGACAAGCAATTTCATTGTTTAGATGAATTTGTTAGCTAACTATCCAAAGGCAATAAAAGAGCCATTAAAATATTAATTTATATAAAATAAATAAACATTAAAGAGCCCCTATTGTGGGTTTTCGAAAAGGAGCTTCCATGTAGTGTGTAACACAGATCTAAATGAAGTGAAATATCCAGCGAAGGCCTAAATCTGAAAGTGGACAGTTTTTAAAACTATTGATTCATCTTAAAAAAAAGAGTCGACTCATAGTGGTTAGAATGAATCGTCTTCATAACGAGTCTTTAGCTGTTTCGGCGTGACGTGACTATGAAACATAGTTGTTATGGGCGCAAACCGAGGAAAATTTAAATCTGCGCCCTGCCCACTAACACAGCCGACAAACAGATCCTGAAGTCATAAGTCAAGAAGACGCTGTGTTTACCTGGATATTATTGGAAGTGTGAGGGGAAATAATTGATTCAGCAGTCTACACGCTTACAGTGGGCGATTCATTCGTTTGTTAAAGGAAGGATAAGAAAAGACTGGTGTATAAGACTTGTGAGAATGGGAAGACAATACACCAAGGCAAGTTTATTAGGCGCAAAGGCAGCCTGCTATGCGCTGGTGAGCACTACAACCCCCTGGCTGGGGATGGGATATTTGGGCAAAGCAGAGTACAGGTAAGCCCTGAGAACATATAACACTTCAAGCAAGAGGTGCCACAGCAAAAATTGCAAATAGAAATGATCTAAGTTACAGCTGAGAAAAGCTCGGTCACGGAAATCACACTCAGTAAATGATATGCACGCTATCGGTTTCATTTTTACTGCTAAGTGCCGTTCATACTTCCCATGCGGGGGTTATGACGGTCACGGGGTTATCACGCGGGCCCGTCCGCCGGGGGCTTGACAAACCACGCTAGGCATTTGTCTAGCGCTGAATGCTGTGGACCAATCGCAACAGGCTGTCATCGGTCCAATCACCGCAGATTAGCTTCACGCTAAGGAGGGGTTTGGGAACAAATGAATCGCTGAACGATTCATATGGAAGTCGCTGGGATAATTGGGTAACAATAAATGCATATTATAAGACTATGAAGGTGTTTTTTGACCTTGCATGCATATCAGTATGTTGTTGGAGACCCATATAACCGAAATATGACCCTTTTTCATGTACAATATGGGCTCTTTAAATGGTGACATGTATTCCATAAAATGCTAAATTATCTGAAGGTATTGCAAAGGCAGATGCAGGGGGCTTCCTTTGCTAGTTTTGGTACTAAAATACAGAAAGTGTCAACTTTATTTTACAAGTGAACAAACCCTTTTAATTTTTTTACAATTAAAAAAAAGTGGTTATTTGAACACACTCATGTGCATTTAGTTATTAGAATTATGTTAACAACTGTCAAAATTAAATTGTATTCAAGTACTAAGCAACCACAAATGATCTGCCAAATAAGTTGATTCACAAAATATGCTATATATATGGGGGGGTCTTAGAACGGAGGAGAGGTGAAGGAAAAGTGAATCAATTTGATCCTCATCCTTAATGTAAAGTGGCACAGGGTTATTTTGACAGACTGATCAGAATAACTGTCAAGCCACTTTGAGTTCTTTTGCCCACTGATGATGGACTGTATACAAAATAAAAAATGACATTAACAACATTACAATTTACATGTCTTGCAAGTAGTTTACATTCTGAATAAGATTTTATTTCGAAATGCATGCTTGATCCACATACATGAATGTGGCTATCTGTTGCTTTTGTTGCCACTATGTAGTCTACAAGTGCCTGATTTAAAGACCCCCGAGCACTTGTGGCAACAACATGCTGTGGCAGGTCATTGGTTACACAAGGAAAAGCCCTATAAAGTGGCAGAAGTTTCCCTTCACAGAGGGACTTTGCCTCCTTGGTCCGGTGAGCAAACCTTTCCATGGGTTTTAAACCTTTTCCCTTTTTAAAGGAGAGAGGAAAAAATATATATTTATTGGCCATCGATATTGCAAGTACTGTTTGTCACAAAAGACAGCACTGAAAAATGTATTTCTTTATTCCATCTAAATAAACTGTCAGAAAACACAAAATTGAGAGTGTGAGTATGCAGATGGATTGCTAAAGTGCCTCAGTTGGTCATTAATTTTTGTTGGTGAGAAACTTCAAGAATGAAATGTCAAACTAAGATGTGCAGAACATGATTCACATACCCATGTATCCCAAACCGCTCAGTTGGCCGCAGGCTCCACCACTCCCTGATTTAATGCATGTCAAGCTAACAGAAATTGAAATGTTACTACATTAGTATTTCATTTGTATTGTTAGAATTCAATGGCCAGCAATAAAGTACTTTATTAAAAATGTAAAGTAACAAAATGTAGAAGACCACCTGTGAGAAGTTGAATGGAATGTCCAGCACATTGTAGAGGGCATACTGAAAAAAAGTAGATATTAATTTTTAAAACTAAAAAAATAAGTGCAACCACCTTCTTCCTCTTGCTATTTACCATAAACTACTACTTACCATGAGCATGAAAATTCCACAATCGTTGCTGTTGTTCTGTTGAGGCAGGACCTTGTATACCAAAATTAGAATTAAAATACTACTACTAATAATAACAATAATAAAATCAGACAAAGCTAAAAAAAAAAAAAAAAAGTAATGTAATAATGTAAAAATTAGTATAAAACAAATAATGCAATTATTGTTCTGGATCACCCCAATATCCAATCCTGTTACTTCTGTCCATTGTGCTGGGTTGAGACTTTGTGCAATATTCCTATGATTTAAGAAAAAGCACAAATGAACTTACAAAGCAATAGGAAATCCTACAGTTCATAATACTCTGTTTATACAACTGTAAAACAGTATCTGATCTACACCTGTGCGATTATGTTAAAATGGCAACTACTAACTTCTAACTACACAAATAAATCTGAAACAATGTAACCGCATATGCCAAGGGAACATGGCAACTATAATCATTATAATAACATCAAATACTCTCATTAAAACAAATAAACTTGAAACAATGCAACCGCATGTCTCCATTATATGCCAAGGGAACATGGCAATTATCTCTTAGCTGTGAACCTAAAGATGCCTCTTAACTGGTCACCTCCAAAACCAGACCCATGAGTACTATAAAGGGAGTCTAGTAGGAGCATCTCTCTTAAGAGTGGCTTCAGTACCTAAAGATATACATAAGCAATGGTTGAGGCCAGGGAGAATACAAAAAGATTTGACACATTTCGACTGTGATTGACATCACCTTATGATACTGGCCTAAAAACAGCATAAAAAATCAATTCCAACAATCTACAAAAGCAGTCAAAGCTTTATAAAATGTAATGTACATTTCAACTGTTTTTACACTGTAAACTAAATGATTACTTTGAAAAATAATCTTACACATAATGGTCTGAGACAGTGGCTTGTATCCATGCAGGAAGCACAAGGGCATCCATCAAGTCAGCATTATTCTAAAAACATAACACCAAAAAAAGCTAATCTTATTAAACTTCTGGCTTAGATCTTATATTAGATGCTATAATTTGTTATACCATATTTACTGGAAAATAGGCTAGAGGATCTTTACTGCTTTTCCATGTGGCAACTACATACAAGTCAGCAATGTAAATGTTGTTGCCCTATGAGAGAGAGCAAAAAGAAGAAAATAACTTGACATCCTTAGTATATGAAGTGAAGTAACTTTCATAAAAAATGCTTAACTAGAAAAATCTGATATAAAATCATTAAAGAATGTTGATACATGCGCTCGAGCCTCTTCATAGATGAGTCTCATGCAGGCATTTCCAATCTGTAATGAATAATAAAGAAGGAAGCAAAGTCAAAGAAAAACTCTAGGGTCCAAGTTATCTGACAAAAACAAAAATCACCCATTGCACCCACTGATTAACATTTTGGGTACATTAAAAAATATCTGCATGCAAATTTAACTACTTACCTCACACTCCATTTCCCTTCTTACGCCCAAAGTCAAAAAATCTGCTCTTGTGAGGCATATTGCTCCTTCTTTCACAATTACCTCATCTGCAAGTCGCTCTGTGTCCCGGATATATCTGAGCTGCAATGGTCAAATGAAAGAAAATGCTCACTTATTAAATCCTTCATGTTTTCTTAGATAGGAAACATGTATTGATTGGATGTTTCAGTTTTGCCACACATATTTTAGAATTGATATTGAATACGAGAACAATTACCAATTTGTCTTCAAGAGGATTGTGAGGCTTCTTCCAGGACTTAGCTGAATCCTCATCTGCAATCTCCACAATCCTAGGCTCTGCCTCTATGGTCAAATCTGCAGTGGTTGCTATGAAAATAAAATGACACAAACTCACACACAATGAACTATAAAAGGAAAATGTATTGTTAGATGGAACAAATTCTCTTCTTTACCCATTTCTGTTACAAGTCTGGCAATGGTAGGATGTCCTCTGTTCCCTCTGAGCCAGAAAGGTCTATAAGTCATTAGATTATTAGTTCATGAAATATAGTATAAATTCAAAACAGTAAAAATATCACAATAACATAAAAAATTATGCTGTTTATAAAACCAAGAACAGTGTATATCAGATTTGTATAAAACAAATAATATATAAACATACAACAATTAGCTGTGTGCCAAATATGGATTAATATGGAATCTTTGCACTATTGAGCAGATTATTAGTTACTTACTGGTCAGCTGGGGATCATCTGTGGTGGCAGATTTAGTGGAAGATTCTAAAATCTCTGAAGTATCTTAATTGGACAAACACAAAGTATTGGTACATGATGGTGTTTGTAAAAGTAATATTTACAACCCATTTTAAATTGATATGACTGTAATCTAAACATTACCAAGAAGAGCCTGATGGTTGGTGTTGAGCCCAACTTCTGTCCCAAAATCTCTTCTAAAATTCTTCTGATTATTGTGATGGTGGATAATATTTCTCATAAGGAAGGCGTGAGTTGATGGAAGGCTCATATTTAGTAAGTAGTTTTTTTTTTTTATTCTTTTTTTATTCGCTAAGGAACTGCTCCGCAACCTGGCTATTTACTTTGCCAGCAAGTTGGGCTACAAGACCAATCTTGCGGAGAACATCCCGTCTTTTGAATTGTCCTCATGAAACTTGTCATTGAGGACATAATTCTCTGATGAGCCTGTAATTGGGTGGCCATGGATGTCTGGAACTTGTTTTTTCACGTTAAGCCATGGCAATGAGATTTTGAGCTTCCCTTCCTGTGCCATCTTGATGTTGTCATCTGTTGGGTCAGCTAGACGCCCTCCATTTGGTATAAAGGTTAGCGTTTCTGGACAGCGAAGATTTGTGTGTGTTGCTAATCCGCAAGCAAAGTCATAGATGAAAATTTTAGGGATGTGCTTCCACGAGAGAAGGATATCTGCAAAATTCCTTGGACGCTCTTCACGCTAACAGCACTTTATGCTGTAGACAATTACACAAGGGCACATAACAACAGCCCACCCTCCTGGACCAAACATCAGGTCGGCAGTTATAGTGTCAGGCAGCAGTAATAATATTAATACATGGCCAACTAGGGATGGGCAGTATGACTATATATGTTGTTTCCACGAAATAAAATGTGTACTGTGGTGGTGCCATGTCGCCATTACAGTGGTGTGATCGTCGGGTTCACCGGCACATCCCTATTGATCATCTAAGTCATATTTGTTCACTATATTTAAAAGGTTATATATATACACACAGACACACACACACACACACACGCACACAGGTCAAAAGTTTGGGATCAGCATGATTTTTAAATGTTTTTTATCAAAGCTTATCTTGCTCACCAAAGATGCATTTATTTTTTAAAGATTACAGTACAAATTGTGAAAAGTTATTGCACTGTAAAATAACTGTTTAAAAGTAATTTATCATTTAATTTAATCATTTATTCAGTGATTTAAAGATGAATTTTCAGCTTCATTACTCCAGTCTTCAGATCACCACATGATTCTTTAGAAATCACTCTAGTATTAATTATTATTGTTATTATTATTATTATTAGTAGTAGTAGTAGTAAAAAAATGCAATTATAACTGGAGTAATAGCAGTTATTTAACATTTTAAAAAATATTTGACAATTCTTTTTTATTTAATAAATGCTGCCCTGATGAACGGAATAATTTTCTTAAAAAAAAACTGAGAAAAAAAACTGACAACAAACTTTTGACCGGTAGTGTATATACTGTGAAATAAATATTCTCAATAACATTTTGGTCATATTGTCCAATCCTAACGCCTACAAAGATGTGGCAGTCACAAACACAAAAGTTTTTTTTCTCACCTGAGGCACCCCAAATCTTTTCGAATAGTTTGTCGTAGGTATGTCTAGACTTCATCTCACAGGATAGTCTTTCTAGGCGGTCATTTATTGAACCAGTGGAATCAATCCCACACTCCTCACTTTTTTTTGTATCACTGAGACCTAAAAACAATTCAAAATAAAAAAAATAATCCATTAAAAAAATTATATCCCACCAAGCCTATCCTACAAAAACAGACTTGATTCTCTTTACAGAAGTGACAATTGAAACTAATTTTACCCTTTGCTTGTAAAGCTCATTTTTAAGCCTATCTTTGGACACAGTAATTTCACAAAGTTCAGCTTCTTTGGGTTGGTGAACTTTCTAGAACTCTGTGTTGAGACACTGACTGGACTTGCAAGTATGTCTTCCAATCCAAGGTGCCCAAAGGTAATAACTGGGGTGGACAGTGAAAGGATTGTCCCCCTGTCCTTAAATAACAGTCAAAGCAAAAATCTAAAAAACGGTAACAATAAGTAGCATACAAAATGCCAAGAAGAGACATAAAAGCAATCTAATTACTTTGTACAAAGCCACGACCAATCATTTGCAGTGACAATTTCTCCCAAAAGTCCTCCATATTCACATGCCCATTGAAGTCTTTTGGTGGTTGTTTGACATCACTCACTTACACCATACAGAAAATGAAAATATTAATAAGATTACCTATATAATTAAAAAAAAACATATAAGCCTGTTATGGGTTTATATGCACTAGCATTGTCAAATGACCCTGAACATGTTTGTAGAATGTCATTGTAGTCCATCCCAAAAATACTTACATGACATGTTGAATGCTCCTTTTCTGTGTAGATCTATGATCACAATGGGTGGATGATCCCCACGTCACACAAGAGTATTCATACTCATGGCTTGTAAGTGCCTCAAAATAGAGATAGGCATGGAGCATTGTTTTGGCTGGGGAAAACTGTTCTCCTATTGTCACCTATAGACACTGAACTACTCTCGCAACTGCGCTGTGGGCCTACAATTGAAGATAACACAAATAATAATCAGTTTTCAATTCTTTAAACCACTAATGTTTTTTCCAAAGGTAATGGAAAATGATTTAAGATAACCTAACCTGTAGCATGTATCGAATATGTAGACATAAAGGAAGGTCAAGAAAGACACTCGTTAAAATTGTGCAAGCCATCTTTCCACTCTTGATATCTGAAGAGTCCACATTGGTGGCAACATTTTGTGTAGTTGGCAACATCTGAAAATTCAATGGTAAAATATAAGCGGTTACTACAATATTATTTAGGATCATTTAAACTGTGCCATTTGTGTGAATTTCATAGATCCTTATTTAAAATGAAAAATACTTACCATAGATAATTATTGTATTGGTAGACATTTTAGCTTTTGCTGTGATGAGCAGAGGGTCAGATAGGGGTACATTTCCAGTACATCGCTGGCAGAACATTTCATCAGGAATGAGGTTGGTTGCATAGGGGCTTAAAGATGAAGGCAAACGCAGGTTCTCGGGAAGAATTGCAGGAATGGTCTTCTTGTTAAAGATGTACTGAATCATAGGTTCAAGCTCTTTTGCTGGGGGGTACAGTAAACCTAAGTCATCATCCCTTTTATGAACTGGACTGGTCTGTTCTGTGCTTCGGAGAGTGCGGAATAGGTGACGCTTAGTCTGGAAAAGGTGCCATTTTCCAATGTATTTATGAAGACAGGACCTTCTTGATCTGACACATGGACAATGCCAGGTGTTCTGCTTCACATCTTATGTGACCATTATTCGACCAAGTTTGGCATAATACGATGCATGTGGCTCATACACTGAAATACACCTTTTAGAACATGGCGTTGTAGCCTTTGTTGCTATAGACAAGGATTTGTTGTCTTGGGTGCTGAGGCTTTGTCTTTGTAGGCAGTCTGTTTTTCTTTCCCTTCCCAACCATTTTAACCCAAGCATGTCTGTAAGGGTACTTTCTGACAAAGTAGGAGCATCAGCAAAGGATCCACAGTAATCTAGAGATCGTAGGTGATGGCATCTGTAGTGGCTTAACCCACTTCTCCAAGCCAAGTCCGTATCCACTTGACGGGATGGAAACTCACACATGACGATGTGCTCTGTTCCCCAGGTTTTGGAAACTATATGGACTGGAATACTTGAAGAGAGAAACATTTTCTGGACTGCATAGACACCATTAGCTTGATCTATGCAGTCAGAATAAAGGTGATGACGTACTGAAATGTCATCCTAACATTTTGTGTGTTTCCTTTCCAGATGTTTTCTTAAGTTTTTTTTTTTTTTGTAATGGCAATGTGGCAATGGGGGCATTTGATCTTAACAACTGCACTGGTATGTATCTTTATGGAAGTAGTTGGTGTAGTGGTACTTAGAGATAGCACACCGGAATGGATGGATGATGTAGTGGTACTCGGAGAAGGCACACCAGGATGGATGGATGATGTAGTGGTACTCGAAGATAGCACACCAGGATGGATGGATGATGTAGTGGTACTCGGAGATAGCACACCAGGATGAGTGGATGATGTGGTATTCGGAAATAGCACACCAGGATGGATGGATGATGTAGTGGTACTCGGAGATAGCACACCAGGATGAGTGGATGATGTGGTGGTATTCGGAAATAGCACACCAGGATGGATGAATGATGTAGTGGTACTCTGAGATAGCACACCAGGAAGGGAGTTGTTGATTTAGCAGCTTTACAAATCGTTTTACATCTTTTGAGGCAGACCACAAAATTGTCAAGTCGGTATATAGTTGAATAACAATATACACAATGGTAGCTGACTACCTGAAACACTGAAATTTGGCTGACAGCCCAGACCACACCGGTGTATTGTATAATCTGTGAAAAAACATATATATATAAAAAATTATTAAACATATAATAATTACTCCCTTGCTGAGAATAGTAAAAATTTTTAAATTCCCAGCACAACATATTAGTAATTTGTTTGTACGCAACATGACCTGACAATACTGATTATGTTGTTTTAAGAAATACCAAAACACAAATCAAAAGGGTTTTTAACATTGAAATTATTATGCAATATACAAATTAATATACAATAAAAAAAAAAATTATTCAGAAATTGTGTTACCATCATGGGTGACTGCCCTCGAAAAGTGAAGCTGCTGATGAATCTCCAGTTTACTCTTCTTTGATGGTTTATAGTAATCTGTAGAGCAGAACAGACAATGGTAAAGGGAACAGCACATGTTGCACTTGTTCACCGCTGGTAAATTCCGATCTCTCCGTACTGTTGGAATATCTGCAATTTAACAACAAGAACATATAATTTACATTATATACAGAAAGTAACTTATTTTTAAACTTATTTTTGCTTTTTAGCGAGCTTGCAGTTAAATCTTTTGTAGAGTTACATAAATAGGCCAATTAAAAAAACTTTGTAGACGAAGTATAAAGTTTTTTTATATTAATTCTTAAACAATGTCTAGACCTATTCTAATGTTGCTGCAAAATGCATTATTCCATTATTAAAAAATAATAATTTTTAAAAAAATAAAAAGTTTAGAACAGGTTACAAAAAAATCTTACCCGCAAAGGCATTCTCGTGCAGGCTAGAGACAGACAAAAAAAAATGTTAAAAGAAAATTAGCTTAAATAAAATGTGACGTAGTA